AAGAACAGTATAGTGTTTTCCTTGACGTAAGATTTTGTTCAACAGTAAGTGATAGAAAAAATTCTTGCCACAAATTGACAATCACCAGTGCAACAAATAAGACCGAAAAGGTGATCCAGAATGAAAATGCTTGCTCTATCGAAATTGACTGTGAATTCTTCGAAATGAGAACTGCCTTTGACAAAGTACAATCCATAAAAGACAGAAACTACTGAGCGAAATGCGAACAGATTGGATTCCTATGCATTGGTTGAGTTCTCATTGAAACCCTTAAGATTAACAGCGAAATAACAAAACAAAAACAATGGTAGTCATTTGCGCGTTTGGTGAAAAGTAACGATAGTTGAGCGTATAGAAGAAGGAAGACATAGATCACTCATGTTCCAAAAGATAATTGTGATGTCGCCAGCAGATAAAGTAGATAGAATAGTCGTCGTGAACAAAACAGTTTATATCCAACAGACACAAGAACCACTGGACGACAAAAGCATCTATCAGCTTCTGGAGAAAAATTCAATCAAACAATCAGTTAACCAAATTTAGAGTTATTCAGGTAAATCAAATCATAAAGTTAAAACAGTGGAAAACAAAGACTTATCAGTGAATGGGACCAACCTTTTACGCTCTACACCAAATAAAAATGATGGACATTCTAATACAGGCAATAGTTTTACTACTACTCAGAACAACGTCTAATTTACTGAAAGAAACGTTTAGAAACCCTTAAACACCTCATCGATTAGAATGAAAATTAAGTCAAGTAACCTACCCTTGACTAAGCCTACCACCACCACCCTATTTTGTGATTATATGCCAGCTGATCACTTCTTTCTTTTTAGTCCTTCAATGCACTTAAAAGCGCTATTATCATTCTTTACAGATTAGGTTCATTCAACATACGAAGACAAAGAAATTCGACAAGTTGATGATGTGGTGGCCATTTGCCTATGACCAAAATACACTGAAATAAAGTGTATTACTGTGTTACTTCACGTCCTTTACACAACAAACTGCAAAATTTGATTGATAGACTTAGATTGGCGTTGAACAATTAGGACTAGATAGCTACATAAGCTATCTACTGCTGACGAAATCCTCAATACAACCCACTGTTGTAGGGGTTTACTCATAGACTGGGTAGCTTAACTGGTTAAACCCCCGACCCTATCACTGAATAACGCAGGATCGAATCACTATGTGAACACCAGTTGTCTCATAACTGTAGGTAAACCTTGCTGACGAGTACCAACAACCAACCAACCTAAATCCACGGACTTTCTGCTAACTGACGCTTAGAACCAATGCTGACTGATTAGTTTTGTGTCAAGTTTCATTAGCGATTTCAGTGCTGAAATTATGACTTTTCAGAGGCACATCACTCATTTGTCGAAGAGACGATGATAAAATAAAACGACCGATTCCAACAAGGCCTGCTTTAACAAGTGAGTACTCGGATTTCCACAGATTACGTCAAATGCAATACCAACAAGGCTAGACAGAAGATCCCTTCACGAAAATTCAACACAGTTGTAGAACAGACACAGAGAATGACATCAAAATATCAACTAAAATATTAATGTTCAATGGATAAACCTCCACTGAAATTGCCTAACTGGTAAATTCGCTTTGTATGTCATTCTGAAGAGAAGTATTAACGTCAGAGCGGAGTGAAATAGCATGATTTTGAAACAAAGACTAATGTCTATTATTAACGATACGTACTATCTAGCTACGTCTATCATGGTGGAGAAAGTAACAAATATGCCGCAACTTTGATGCCAAAGTTAGGTACCACTGCGTTTATTAGTTTACATGCATGCTGACAAGGAGTTCTGATAGAGGTATGTACTTAAAGTTGGCAGAATATGCATCGTGATCACTTGTAGCATTCTTATGTCCAATCTTAATTTTGTCTGATAGTTTTCCACTTTTTAATTTTTCATTGAATTCCAACTCAGTAAATGGATTTTAATGAACTCGTCGTGAGGAAGGATGGTCATGGGTTCGACTCTTTAAGAGGTTTGAGGTGCACAGTACTGTGAAGTCTTTAACTAAGATGAAACAGCTGTCCAATACTCCCAGGATTTTGAATGGTATTCTAACTAATGTCGTAGCATTATAAAAATGCCTTTTGAAACCAATAAATTCATCCCGAACCTTAAATACAAAATACCTTGATAAGTGAGTGATCAGACTGTTAGAAATAAATATGTCGAATACACTGTCTTCTAAATGACACTTTCTAAAATCATAACTTTGACTGAGGGAATGAAGGAATTCAATGCCTTAAATCTAAGACTGAGAAATAATTTTAAGAGGTCTGGCATTCAAATAATACAACGATCCAGAGGAAAATAGACTTAGATTTAATTTATGAACCAATTAGGAGGAAAGGAAACAGCCATCAACCAACTGGAAATTGAGCAAGTAAATCAATAATCAAACATGGTAGCAGTGGCAACAAGTACACCCCCATGGAGATTTTTTTTAGATGTAAAAAAAGGAATTCATGGTCAGTAGTCAACATGAAGTAGAGTATCCGACTAATAAACAGATATTGGTTACTAAGGTAGCCTTATCAGTGAGTCAAAATTGACGTTAAAACCAGACATGTGCAGGATCGTGATATATAAACACCCGACCACATATTTTAGAAAATCAATCTAAATAGAGACAGCCGGTTTAAGGGAATGCAACAATACACAAAACCAAATATGCAAATAACACAAACATTAGAATAAATTCTTGACAGTTACATATGATTATCGATAGACTAGAGAAACAGACACTTGACCTTGATCATTTCTGTAACGCAAACTTTGATAAATCAATGGAATTTTACATCATACGATTATTCTTAGCAGATATAATAAATACTTGAATAAACATTACTGATGAGATTATGAATAAATAACCTTAATGTGAGATTTTTATGTGCAGTGTACTTACAGCTTTGTAATTAAATGCTAAGCATGGTACCTGAACGAATGTCGTGGAACCGTCACATCAGTAACGTAGATTTTAGTGTAGAGTTCTAGGCGAAAGGGATAAGTCAGTTGACAGGGGTTATAAAATTTCATTAGGTGGCTGGGATGTGTGTTAATATGTCAAGTCACTGTCTGCCTCATCATGTCATGTTAACTTATGTAGTGTAAGCTGGGTGGAGGCTAAAGGCAAGAAGAGCGAAACAGCATCAGTTCGCGAAACCTCTGACTATTGTTAAGAGTTGTGAAAGGGAATCTACACTTCCCGGCTGCGATTCATGTGATAGCAAAAGCTGGTGACGGCAGATTCTACGTGATACTGCTCAGAATCGGGTTCTATGGTGCAGATGCATTAAAACACTACCTTCACCCTAATAGTCGTATCATATTTTGTTATAAGTTTTAATCCATCTTCTCTATTCATTACTTCCTACACTTTCTGATATTTATTTCCTCCTAATTCTTTACCTTTCATTTTGCTGTCTTGTATTTTGATGTGTTGGTGTAAGGTGTGGCAACTTGGATAGTATTCCCAGGTACTACACTGTTATCAAATAATTGGTACCTTCTTGCTAGTTAAATAGTTAGATACACAATCTCGAATACAATTCATATTAGAAGGAAAGGAGTGGAGATCAAGTTTCTTTTGAACCATGATCGTTAAAAAATTACCAGTTATTTGACTAGTCATTTATCAATAAGCTTTGGTAGGTCGCGTTTAGAAGGTGACCAAAGATGAATTTTACTATAGACTTAGTGACCTTGATCAAATGCTTTCAATAGACGTTTCAGCATTAGTTGAGGATTGAATAATAGAGGTGAGTCCGTACATGAACCGAGTTGTTATCGTGGTCAATGGGAATTGTTTGGTCCCAGGTACGATTACAGGGATCTTCTTTCGCAGTTATGAGCAGATCAGAGACCTCTAGGATAGTCACTAATGTCTTAGGTTTCGAATCACACAAGACGTAATGTATTCAGTAAACAGTGTTGCTGATATATGACGGATAGTCGCTTCTTCTGATGCATATTTCCGAATACTTAACATGCTCCAGTTAAATGAAATTATTGTTCCAAAGTTGATGGGCTGCGATTAAATATCACCCCAGGTTAGAAAACTTTCCGCTGACCCTTTCAAAAATGTAGAGGAGCCAAAAAAATAAAACGCACGCAACAAACACATGCAACAGGCAATGAACCATACCTATTGTGTGGGGCTTCTGATACTACCTGGCAGCCTAAACTTCGACAGCGAAGGCTGGATTGAAACCCGTGGCTTGCCTGAAAATCAAGTGCTTAGAACAATGAGTCTAAGCGGTGCATGAGCATTCTTTAAACTTACAAGATACTATGAAAGTGATATACAAAGGTGCTTGAGGCTTTCAATGCCTATGAACATTTGTTTCTTGCAACTTCTTGACATCAGCCAATGTATACCAGCAGATAGCAAGTAAAATGATTTTAGTTAGTAATTTACATGAAGAAATGCGCAGAATCATGAGATGTGTTGGTTACAACAAGTAAGGAAGATGGAATCAGCATCTACACCTAGAAATAACTAAAAGAATTCCTAGCCAACCCAAACCACTAGCAGTAAGTAGGTTGGTACTAGACAAAGCATCTACAAAGTATGTCGTATACCAGTACTTACTCTACCTATGTTCATCTACCTGATTATATGTTCTTACTGTATTCGTCAAAAAATAAAGTGACCATCTGGCTCCAAAATGTGTCAAGAAGATTATACACTGTAGGGAAGATGAAGAAATGAATCAGCAAATCGATACGGCAAGCAAACCCAGACTAGCTTACACGTCAGTTGATTTTATGTTTCAAAAGCCGGCAAGAAGTGACAGTTGCCAGTAGTTGAGACACGACAGGTAATAAATCTACGATTCTAAGGATTATTATGGCTTTCTTGATTTACTTAAATTTGTTCTTGAATGTCGATATTGGATTTTGTACAGAAATAGACTGAAATACCACGTGTTAACAGTGATAGCAACATAAACTCACGTAATATTAGGATGTGAAGATTTCTTTTTATCCCGTCGATATATCCGTGCAAATTCATCATGACGTGCTGTTTTCTTCCATAGATAGTAGAAATGAATCAACTCAGATACAGTTTTATGCCGTAACTGTAAGAAAACAAAAATACACAAGTGAATGAGCATAGAAAGGTGGACACAAAGAAGGAAAACTAATCCTGTTGGCAGTAAGAACCTCACTAATTATAAATGGTATTAGGATACAATGGATGTTTACAACAATGAAATATCATTAGAAAACTCTAAGTATTATCATACTGCAATTGAAATCTACGTAGAATTGGGATCAAAATCATTTATATTTTTCAAGATTCTCAAATATAAACTGGCAAAGTATACTGAGTAAAGAACTTGAAAAAACTACAAGGTAAAGCGATGAAAAGATCCTTTCCCAAGCACTTTGATGCAAACTTAACTTGTAGGAATGAAACAGCTTTTTGTGAGTTTCCGTGTGTCATTTGGATTTCTCATGCGGCAAATACAAACATTAATGACAAATCAGACAGACAAACACAGACGAAATGAAAGCAGAAACCTGTACACAAGTGGATTGGCTTAAGTTGCCATCCTTCACAGTGGTATACAAATAAGTGGATAGAAAAAGGTATGTGACAGAATAAGCTAATTCAAGATAAAGGTTAGTGTGGATATACAAATTTTAGACTGAGTCAGGTAGTGAATATATCTGCGACATTGTGACCAATTTTCAGCCATACCACCAAGAGTTCTAAATAACTGATTTTTATCGTTCCACAACTCCAGCCACGTAGACTACATGTACCTGTACGACTCAGACTCACAATAAGAGGTTTCATAAATTGGCGTCAGGTCCTGATCTGGTCACCCTTTAATTTCTAACCTAGTCCAACTTCTCCTGACAAAGCAAGTCGAGGTAGGCAGTGACTCGGCAGGCGCAGCACATGTTTAAACCAGTTCTGTTGACTAAGGTTCACAACGCCATAAATCTGGTCTAGGAATTGGTGGTAGTCATGGAGGATGCTTGGTAGTTTGTTGACAATCTACGCATCGGTTGACATAGTCTATAAATTGCTGGTCTATCCATGGCCAATACGCATAGCTACGGGCAATTGATTTTATGCGCCCAATAACAGGGTGACCCAAATGAAAGTGACATAAGATTAGACCATGAAGAGAAGTAAGGATTACCACTCGGTTTCCAAACATAAGGCAATCGAAGACGATACACAGGGAGTTCCGACAACGATGCAGTTGTTTCGGATCACCTGTGAAACACTTCTTTCGCCTATCGAGTCAGAACAAACTGGATTGCATGCTGTAAAGTTTTTTACTTGCATGTAGCCATCTGGATGCCCTCTGTTGTGACTCGAAGCGCGCCTGATGGCTACAGTTAGGTCAAATAGCTGCAAAATCTTCTCCTGAAACTGCTCCGATGATGTTTTCTTCACTTGGCGTAGGATAGTCGCTTATAAGACTGGACAAGGCATCGACCTGGCCAAACTCTTGAGAGCGTTGATACCGAATATTAAAGTCATATTCAAGTAAAGTTAGAGCCTATCATTGAAGACGACTAGCAGAATGGGTTGGTATGCCAAATTTAGATCCGAAAACAGGCAGTAATAGTTTTATGAAGACGACGGACGGCAAAAACGATAGTCAAGGCTTCTTTCTCAATACAGCTATATTTCCGCTCTGTGATAGATAGCGTTCGAGAAGCATGTATGATGGCTTTCTCTTCTCCATTCGGGGGGACGTGAAGAATTACAGACCCAACTCAATGAGATGAGGCATCTCTGGCTATAATGATTAGCGACTGTGGATCAAAGTAGGTAAGTAAAATGTCAGATAATAACATCGACTTCAGCTGACTGAAGGCTGTTGTACACCCTTCAGTTAACTGCCAGGGAACGTGCTTACACAGGAGGTGATTTAACGACGTCTTTACAGTATGCATCGAAGGTAGGAATACTGAGTTATAAGTAATTACTCGCCAAAATGGTTGTAGGGAAGAGACATCGTTTGGTCCTAGTATTTGTTGCATGGCAAGAATATTTCCAAGGTTTGGTTAACAACCGCAAAAGTCAAAAATAAACCGCAGATATTTAACTGAATGTAGGCAAAACTGACTTTTCGGGACGAAGACAGAAACCCTTATTTTCTATTCGTTTCAACACCTGATCCACTCGATTCTGCAGCTGTTCCCAGGAGGCCGCGAAAATGAGAATGTCATTCAGATATGTGGCTACTCTTGGTGTCTCAGATAATATGGTATCTATTACCTGTTGTGAAATTGCTGGTGTGGTTTTAATTCCAAATGGGAGGCGGTTGGACTGGTATACTCCACGATGTGTAAATCGTTAGTAATTCGCGATATTCTAGTGCCACCTCGACTGGTTGACAAACGTTAGTCAGGTCAGTTTTGGTGAAGCAGGCATAGCCGTTGAGAACAGTAAAAATATCACCTGGTGCTGGACGTGGATGGTGGTGTTGTTTGAGTGCAGCATTAGGTCCAGTAGAAAGATCTACATATATGCGTATAGAGTCATTTGTCTTTCTGACAACCGCGATAGCAGCCGCTTATGAAGAATAAGAAACTGGTATGGGAACACTTTTATGTTGCAAACAGATTTCGGCATCAATTCATGGTAATGATGCGCGAAGCACGGGTTTCTTGCGTCGGAAAACAACTTTGGCGTCGTCTACAAGGAGAAGAATAGCTTAGGATGCTGTGCGGCGACCGAGACCAGGCTTGAATACCCTTAGAAAACGTTGGGCAATATCACTGTCAACAGGCGCTTGGTTTGATTACAGATAGCACGTAGAGGTATATCCGAGAGACTAACGCTTTGAAACCAATCGATACCAGTGAGATTCAATTCAGCATCACACAGATAGCAAGTTCCATTTATCGAATTACTGTGGAAGGAAGGATACAGTATATGAAAACTGACCTATTAGTGGTAACCGACAACCACATAAGCTGATAGCAGTTTGTAGTCTTCTGGAGAGGAGGTCAGCCAATCTTCCACCGTAGCTTCTTTGAAGTGATTGTAATATCTGATGCTGTGTCCATTTGTAATTTCACTGGACAGTTATTTATCACTTGGACTTTGATATATTTCCTTCGCACTGGTACATGTGCTTGAAAGATAGCAGTTACACTAAGAGTCTTGCCAACTGATCGAGACTTCGATCTTCGACGATGACTAGGCGGTGAATTGCGTGTTCTTTCCGATGGGTGCTGCTTGTAAAATCTGTCTTTGTGACCAAGAGTATTACAATCTCGGCATCTGTTCTGCTTAAAAGGATGAGATTTGACAAAATGCCATGCACCACAATACCAGCAGGAGGATGGAGGCGTTTTCTTTGTTTCCTCTGATATTGCCTGATCTGATGGAATGATGAACAGATGGAAAACCAGCGGTCTTTTGTCCAGAAAAGATGTGGCGGAATTAGATGTCTGGCAAACTTCATAAATTTCATGATCACCCTGGCCTCCAGATTGGACTAAACTTGTATGCCATTGCAAGTCAATCAATTTTTGATATTCAGCAGTGATGTCACTCGTTAGTGATGCACCTTGCTCCAACTGATTTCGCAATCTCATCCTGATATCAGCGAACTTCGGTGACTGAGGATTACATATGAGTATTAGGGATTTGAAATGATCATCTGTGATGGGCCTCAGCTTGACGTTTTTGCATTCACGATCGACAATACCAACATGTGTGAGAAAATCATCATTCTCGTTCATCACCAGTTTTGAAACAAAAATATGTGGTATTGCGAAGAGATGAGTGATCACCAAAGTGTTGTCACAGGATCTGAATTGTGGCATCGAAGGAGCGATCTCTAGGGTTCTATAGCAGCATAATATTGCGATACTGACCTAATTCAGATGGACCAAGTTTTAGAAGGAGATGAACTTTACATGAATCATCTTGGCCAGAAAAATCAGTACTGAAATGGTCCTCATATCTTCGTAACCAAATATCGAAACTTAAATTCGCATAAGGATCATAATGAAATTTAGTGATGCTATTTACAATTCCGTCGATAGAAGGGGCAGGCATACAATTTGTTGATTCTCAGCAGACATTCTGGAATGATTAAGCTATTTGATAGTCTTCATTCACTGCTCTAGAACTCTGTTCAGCTTCGAAGATTCCATTTTCAAACCCCACCGCCACTATTTTGATCTGCAGTACATATATGAAAGGTATAATGCTCCAACGCGATACAATTAATGATATAACAATGACTTCTCAAGACGATACTCAACTGACACCAGAAGAAGAAGAAGACGATGTGACTGAAGGTATATTCACTTCAACCAAATAGTGCGATTATAGCTGAAAGTCCAGTCGTTTCTATACTTTTTAAGAGCCTCGACCAGGAAAATAAAATACTATATAAAAAGTGTAAGATGAACCCGATCAGCGCCTAGTAACTTAAACAGGGTAGAAAATAAGCAACATTGCATGGAGCAAGAAACGCGCGAGAATTAAGTTTAAACTTGACAATGAAGACATATACACATTATAAGTTAGTTGTTTGGGGATCACACGTTCTTAATAATAGCGATCAATACAATGTTTGAAATTTCGAAGTCAAGTAGTGCGCATTCTCGCTATTACTACTACTGAGTTTCCACCCATTCCTTCCTGGTATTTTGAGGTCTCCAACAAGACAGTCTGTACTTCTATACACCAGTTAAATCGACGGTTAGAGACTACGGATTGTTCCTACGTCTTGATTGGACTTAAGCTTTCTTTCTACCTAAATTTTATTGAGCTAACATTTCGAACCGAGGTACGTACTCGCCGGCAATGTGCGACAGATGTTCTAACAATCTCAATGTCTGAAAGTTCACAACTTCCCCTAATTTACCCACCTACCTTGATTACCCAAAATGACTATGGTTCCATTTAAATTATGATGAGATACCTGAATTGTTCTGAAATTTTCCGCATTCGACGGTAATAGCACACACCTACCTAAGCACTATGACGGAAGGAGTACCATACAGTACAACCATTCTTCGATTAGCAGTTGATTATCCTATCAATGCTAAAGTTGGTGTAAACTGGAAGTTTTCAAATAAACCTTTACATTAGAGCTGTAATTTAGTCACCAACTATTCCTTGATATAATTTCATGAGTAAGTGAGGTGGTTAACACATTCCACCATTTAACCCTCCTATGGTTGAAACATGAGTTCATACAGACCGATACTGTAGCACTATCCTACATCTGGCAAGTGAGAAAGGCATGTTTAATACACTCAGATTTCTGCTGAAGGTATTCAGAAGGTTACACTTTGTAGATGTTAGTTGGTTGAAGGTAATCAGCAGGAAGCCCTGGACCTATGTTTCCGGCTTGGTGGGACTCGTCAACAAGGCGTATCTACAATCTCGAGAGAAGTGATATCCCCTCTGAGATTAGAACCCGCATAACTCAGTGTTGTAGTCAGCGACATTACCAGTGAGCTAAGAGAGCCGTGATCAACCTCCCGCAGGACTACATAAGATACATTGATTGGTCACTGGAGAGCAACTAATTTCATGTTATCTAGTCCTGAGTGCTGACTGAATCCTATCGATCAGTCAGTGACAATGTCTTTGCCCAACAAAACCAAGTCGTTAACATGCCCTAAAATGATCGTATGTTCTCCTGGGAGGTTACAGGTACACAGATTCAACTTTAGCTGAATCAAAGAATGATTCAGTGGTATAATACATTAGATGTATGGGGAATAGTCAAAATGATTCAGTTGTCTAATACAAGGACGATATAGGGAAAAAACGGTTTCATAGAAAGGATATAAAGTGCTTACTCGGGTCTCTCGTATCTGACGAAAATCTTTCCCGTAGATTGCAAAACTTTTCTCAAATGCAGTACAGTCAGGTTCTGACCAAGAATCTAGATAACCCGGTACTTCTACAGACAGAATAACAAATAAGCAGATATTACACAGTATATTTATTGATGTTATAGCAAAAATCCATAAAGATTTTAAGTATGCTGATGTCAATAAGGAAAAGGTAAGGCGTAGAGTTTTGAAAAGAACAGGAACGTTAGCTAATCAGGTTGCAAACTTCCGTCGACTCAGATACCTGGAATATCCTACGCATATCTGGTCACTATCTGTCTCATCGTGTAATGTTAGGTGAAGTAGGCTTAAGCTGGAAAATGATCAGAGGCCGAAACTACATATGATGGTATTAATCTGTGAAGCCTTTGACTGGTAGTCAAAGCTGTGTTAGGAAATGTAGACTTCTGGGTGGGGACCCATATGATAACAGAAACAGGTGGCTCATAATAGATCCCACTGGCACAGATGTATCCATACTTTATTTTCTTTGTAATCGCTATGGTAAATTTAATTATGTCCTCACTCCTCTCTCTTGACAACTTTCTAACACTCTTGAGTGTTTTCTTCTTTGTCTTTCATCTTGATGCATTCTCAGTTGGGGTGAAGATATGAAATGTGGCAACTGGGACCGTTATGCAGTAATGCCAGGTCTCAACTTTGATATTGACTGAATGATGTTCATGGTTAGCGGTAATACGCTGACTGAGAAGTAAGTAGTGACAGGTTATCTAACGATACACTAAATAAGAATGAATACATAATCCAAATATTTTGTATCAGAAAACGCATACATTTGATATAAACATCAAACTCCACTCTTTTAAAATATTGTCAATTAGAATACTGAATCCTATCCCTGCTGACAAGTAACAACATGCAAGAAATTTAAATTAAGCAAGGACTCCTCATTGATTGTCTTTAACTTGTTAACTTTCATCAAAGTGCACTATAAAGCTGAGTGCGTTTCCATGATGAATCTCCTTAGCTTGATGACCACAGTACAAAATGATTCGATGTAATCGAATTACTACTAAGCTTGACTAGACTATATGAAATTGGTTCGTCTTCAGTGACCAATAAACAGTAATTAGCATGCGTTTCAGAATAAAATGGTCTTAAGGTTTCGATTTTATTTTCGAAGGAAGGAAAAGAATCATAATAAATATTTATATTCCGAACTAAACCACTTATCTACATTGGATCGAATCAAAAAAACTATTTGGCATAAACTAAGAATTGTTTCAAAAGTAGGGAAATTATAACATTTCAGGTGAAGCTGTAGACCTTTGCTTGAAGGTAATTTACTGACAATAACTGATTTACCAAAGTGGACTATTCATCTGCTGAATGTAATCCGTATATCGTGGAAGTATTGTAAGCTTCAAAACAGATTCAGGACATAGCTCAGTTTATTAGCCGATATATAGGTTCTGCGTTTCAATTCAAAGACATTGCGATATCTTTCCTTGTTGTTCATGTACTTAAATCAATTCCTTTGATACTTTTCTTTTCAAGCAAACAGTTTGTGAATGCAACACTTTCCAAGTGATTAAGGTTGGAATTCATCATGGACTGACATCAGTTGGAGGGACATCGGAAACCTGGGAGCACTGGATATCCGTTTCGTCCTAGTATGGGACCCCTCAGCAGTGTGCACCCATGACTCCACCTCACAAGGGGTCGAGCCCAGGACCTTCAGGTTCCGTGGCCAGCACGTTACCATTGAACCACTGAGTTAGCGGAATTTAGTGGTCACATTTCCTACTTTTATCAATTCACGATATAGTGCGACCTACATTCAATGTCGTCGTTGAGTCCTCATGTTCGACTTGGTTGACTTCACCGGTCACGACTTCTCATAGGAAATTCAGGAATCACCTCTCGAAGCTAGTCACCAATGAGCGCTAGATTAATTCTATCTGGAGGTTTATTGATTGAAACACCTGTCCAGTGCTCCCAAGGTTTCCAATGTTCCTTCAACTGATATCAATCAATAATGAATTCCAGCCTAAAATCAAATAAACCTTCACAAACCTCCAGATACAATTTTCCAAGTGACTTTGTTCATTGTCAAAATGTTTATAAATTCGATTAAATTTGTAAAAGGGGTACAGATACAGGTTAACTATAACCGGTTTCCCTCCACTTTTAAATGATGAAAAGTGTAAACCTCAAAATATTATGAACTGCTTAAACTTTGTAATTTCCTAGTTATTCTATACACAAGGAGCTCATTCATGGGCCAACCGGTAAAATGAGCTCAATTAATAGAAAAGTTTGAATAAAATCAGTTAATAATTGTTTCAATAAGAAGTAGTTTTCATCATGAGAACAGTGTACACTGATTAACGCTCCTCAGCAACGTATTGAGTTAGCTTCAAAGGGTACAACAATACACTAAGGTATATTAAGTTTTAATTAAGACAAAACGCATTTCCTGAACCTTAAAGTCATTCATTACATTGAACAGAAAACATTGCGTATGTTTTTCTTGAATTCGAAAACCGTTTTCATTGCTGGTACAATCCATTCTATTCTTCTTGGCTTTATCCACAGTTGTGAGTGACTCATTTATACCTAATCGGTTAGGTGTATGTTAAGAAGATCTGATATCCAAAATATTCATACATTTTTGCAAAGTTCACAGGACAATACTCAATAACCTTTTCCCTCATATTTTGTTGACTGCTTTATTCTAATGCTTCTTATGTTACAAAACAACGGACCTAGTGTATCATAGACAGAAAGTTTGAAACTGATTCTAGTTGGTTGTTGTTGCAGATGCCAACATTTTAACGTGGACGATACCAGGAAAAATGAATCAGTAAGCGTACAAAATAAAATGAAAATCCAGTGGAAGTATAACTAGCACACGAGACAAGGTTAACTACGTAGAAAATGACTTTCAATGACAAGTCTAAATTTCAGCAATTGTAAGATCCCATGAATATGATAAATAAGATTGAAAGAGAAGTGAAAAATACCTTAAAGGTGTTGACAACAAGACAGAAAAATATCTTTTAGAAGAACGAATATTTCGAGACCGTATAGTCTCCCGAAAATCTGTAAAGATGGCATATCTTTTAGACTAATTCTAGATCCAAGTAATTAATAGTGGAAAGCTCAGTGACTCCCTTGAAGTGAAGACAGGAGTAAAACAAGGCTGCCGCCTACTATCACCGATCATCTTCCTGATTGTGATAGACTGGATCATGCAACAAACTGTGACGAGCAAGAGGAAGGGCATACGCTGGCTGGACCAATGAAAAAACCCAGAGCGAGGTTTAGATTTTCCTGATGATGATTAACGTCTAATGTCTTATGTTGCACAAACTCGAAGATGTACAGGCAAAAATCAACAAGTTGGCAGAAGAGACGAGGCAGTGAAGACGGGGCTTCAAGTGAATGTAGAGAAGACAGAGACAACAACAACAGTATCAACAATCACCAATCACCATGAAAGGCAGAAACCGAAAGGAAGTAGTCTCTTACACCTACCTTACTAGGCAGCATCGTCTCAATTATAGGTGGCACAGACGAGGATGTCAAAACCAGGATTGGAAAGACAGCAAGACAGGCCTTCCTGCATTATTCTGAAATCAATGTGATCTACTGCACTCAGCATAAAGCGTGAACAAGATCCGGATTTTCAACATCAATGTCAAGTCAGTGCTGCAATATGGTTGCGAAACTTGGCGCGTCACGAAAAGCATTTCCAACAAACTACAGATATTCGCCAACAGCTGCCGCCTACGCTCACTCGATACTCAAGATCAGATGGCCAGAATATTAAGAATAAGCAATAAGGAACTTTGGCGACGAAACAACGAAGAACCCGACGCCCAACAAATATGCAGAAGAAAGTAGAGATGGATTGGATTGAACATACACTGAGAAGACCGTTTGGGGACATCACGTGCTAGGCCAGACCGTCGAGTGGCAGCGAAATAAGATTTGACGAGTTGGGCGTCCGAGCTAAGGGTGACATAAAGATCATGCGAGGAAGAAATGAAAGCTTCTGGGTAGTCGTGGAACCGTGTTAAATAGATTGCAGAGAACAGAATGTAATGGAGGCGTGCTACTGAAGCCCTATGTTCCACTAGGAACCCAAGAGACAAATAATAATAATCATGGTTTAATGGCCTAACTAGTATAAACGATGAGAAACAACGGAAATCAACTTTCAAACTGCTCATCGAAAAACAAGTGTAAGACGTTAACAACGCGATACTTTTAAGTTATTTTATTTGATGTAACGCACACAGCAACATCTTAATGAGATCATGAATAATAACATGTGTTCAAAACGTCATCCGGTAAATAATCGTGTATCACTGTGTGTAGTATCAAAAAAGAAAACCTAGTTTGAAACAAGTGCACCAGACTTTATAACCAAATTCTCTACTGACGTGATTATTTACACATGGTTATAATATAATAGGCAATTAATCACTTCATAATCTAGGCTTCAGAAAATATACGTACATAACATTGCAAAGGCATAAAGGGAAAGAAAAGATGGTGAAAAATAACAAGTAAATTTGAGGCAGTCGCATAGTATACGTTCAAGAAGATATTTTAAATCCAGGATATCTGAAGGAAAGTAGACGATAAGAACAAAACAAGGCACAAAATATAACAGTCTCGATTTTGAGCCATAACCTGATGCGATTTTAGTCCTATGAGTCGTGTGGTGTATTGCAGGCTATCGAGAAAGTGCTGTTGCACTAATAAGTGCCAAATCAATATAAATACACTAGTTTTGCACAAAAGCACACACAGCAAACAGTAAACGATAAGGAAGCTGCTAGGGTGTTATACATAAGATATATTCAGGGCATACAAAGAACAATTCTTTACGATAAACTTCCTAGCCGAATGATAATCTCCGTAAATAGTAATATAACAATGGTGATAGGATGGACAATCACTAAACATCCTCTGAATAGAGTTTCAATTTCACATGTGTAGACAGGAGTATCAGCACCAGTGATTTTACAAAGGTATTTAGAAATTGCCATGCCGTAATAAAACATGAATATACTTTAGTGTGGAAATATGTTGTTCATGGTTTATTTTGTCATTCTTTGCAAATGTTGAAAGAAAATATCGGTTTGTGCATAGAGTTTTGAAGAAAATAAAAACAATTATTCATGTAGTCGTAAAATATGCAGTATTCTCTAGTTAGGTAGTAATTCACAAGCTGAATATCAATTATTATATCTTGTAAGTTATCTAATCAACTTCACAAGTTATCGAAGTTATCGTTGACCACGCCCAATTTTAATGAGTGAACGAATTGTTTCACTGAGAACTTAAAATAATGTTCAAGTCTATTCATTCATTGACCTACATATATATTGCATGGAAAGGTATAGACTATCAGAAGTTAAATACACCCTATTAGGCAAAATGTACTTTTCATACAATCGAGGAATAATAGGATAACACGAAAAAAGAATAAAATATGCTGAGTAGCCACCAGCATTAATACTATGAAACTGACAGTTACTACGCATTATGAACTTATACAGCAGTCGAGCAAAACTCCTGGTGATTGAAGTGAAATCAACACCTGGTTAGGAGTTGAAACTTGTAGGTCAGTTGATAGAACATCCCATCAGTAACCCAGAAGCCTCTGATTCGACTCCTGTCACGAACCAGATTTTCATTCCACCTCCAAACCATCGCTATTTCACATTAACTAAATAGGCATCAGTAATCCGGTATAGTATTGTGCACTTGATCTGTTTATTAAGAGTGGAATTGGTGATGTTTCAAAAAGGTGATCAACAGGATCACTTGATAAAGAAACAATAGTTTTTTACTGAGAATTTTTTTAAAAAAAACCATAGATTGGGGTAAACAGCCAACATGAAACAAATAAAATCGTACCTGAAGGTAATACAGCTTTTGATTGTAATCGTTGAAGTGCTTCCTCCACATCGTAATCACAACGCATGAGCAGAAACAAGGCCTAAAGTAAAAATTAATGGAACAGAAGAAGGAGAGAAAAGTCAAACATCGGATGTATTAAAGTCGTAAATTTCGCATCGATATTAGAACAAATGAATAAACAAAACTACAAAACAGCGATTGCACATATATATGAACATCAAGTAGGAGGAGCTACAAAAAGCATCATGAAATGTACCACATTATTATTATCATCAATATCAACATGGGATCAGGCATTAGTCTGTGAAGAAAGAAAGATCAATCAATCAATTAATATCAACATAGGACCAGGCATTACTGCGTAACGATCCAACTTCCTGTCACACCTCATATCAGTACATCAAGTAAAAAGGCAGTAAAGTGCAAGATGGAGATAAGGGAATGCAGTCGAAAGAAATATAAAGTACGAAAAGCGAGAAAGGAAGAATGAGAAAATGGTGAGATTCGGTATAGCGTTGTTAGGATAATGTGTGTATACATCTGCGCCACTGGAGAAAGAAAGAAAAATCGATCAAAAGCAGTAGAAGGCGTTTATTAGAAATGTCAAACAGTGAAACAGTATCATTTACTGCATAACGTTTCGGACGTAATTGATTGTCCATATTCACATATGAATAATATGTTTAGCTATAAGTGGACAGGAACCTTGCCTGGTTACCTAGTTCACTAGCTACTAGACGGTCCTAAGCCTGGATAAACAGAGAAGGTTGGACATACAGCTAGCAACCCTACCCCATAAAACCAATCTAACCGCCAAAGAAACTTCAAGGCACAAGGAAAATATAAAACATGAAATTAAACTTATTCATTGCTGGATTCAGAGACGCGAAATGACGCCCGTCGGTGAAAGCCTTCGGGAAGCCAATCGATCGATGTGTCTTTTCTCTCGATGAAAGCAAAAGTAAACATGGGGACACGGAATGTTCGCACCATGTTTGAACGTACCAAGGCTGCCCAGATTGCAAAACAAATGAGATGTGACATAGAAGTGCTAGGAATATGCAAGGAATCAGCAAACGGGATGGAAGTGGACTCTCCAAACTCTTAACTGGAGTCAATAATCTACTCCGGTCACCCAGACGACAATCACGAACACGCGGAGGAAGTGGCTATCATGATTTCCCCAAGAACATTGAAGGCTCTCATGCAGTGGGAACCAGTCTCCTCCTGCAAGATTCAACTAAAGAGGAAGGAAAGTCACAATCATTCAATGCTGCGCGCCACATGCCAACTGATCCACGAGTTGGGCGTCCCAGCTGAGGGTGACATAAAGATCATGTGAGGAAGAAATGAAAGCTTGTGGGCGGTCGTGGCGCCAGGTTCAAGAGACTGCAGAGAACAGAGTACAATGGAGGTGTGTTACTGAAGCCCTATGTTCCACTAGGAACCCAAGGGGAAAACATAATAATCAATGAAGAGGGTCGTCTCCCACCAGCGTTTATCGCTGTTTCACACCCCATTTGTTCTTGAAGCCATTTAGGCACATCTTCTTCCACCGTCAACTACATAACTCAATTACTCCTCCCTATTTATGAGTGACCATACACGTATGTAAATTGGAATGTCTATCTCTTCATGATGTTTCTTGGTTCTTATCATCACTATCATCGGTATTACAACTACTTTAGTCAACACTGTCAGCATTATCATTATTATTATTTATCATTATCAACATCGTTACTCTAAAAGTTAGAGTACATTCTGGGAAAAGTAATCGACTTGCCTCTTCATCATCTATAGTTCGTTGATTAGGCAGCGTAGACATAATAACTTGGGCGTATGTCCTTTCAAAGCGTGTCACATCAGCTTCAGAGAGTTTTTCACAGGGTTTCCAAACAAGACTAGATTCTTGGAATACTCTTTCAGCGTAGCCGTAGAAAACACCTTCATTGCTACCAGTATTATTGATAGTTTGATTTTCTGTATTATTTGATGATGAGATAGTCATAGGGACATTTGCTTGATACTCATCACCCACTTTGATCTCCTATAAATAATTTGAAGCAAATAAATAAAAGGAAACAAAGAGGTAATATAGATGATTCGCGTGAAAAAATAAGCAGACACAACATACGTACAATTCAGATATAAATTCTCAAAACAGGTGAATGGGAAAACACATGCAATTTTACCAATAAAACCTTTAAAGGTATTCAATTCGTAAGAGGAAATAGCGAAATAACGCTTCACAATATTGTTATCAGTAGAAAATGTGACGGAACCTAATAAACTCAGGTGTACAGGAAGACAGCATATACGGATTTAGTGTTCAGGCTTTAATGGTAACAACTCAGCGTCTAGTAAGAAAAGTTGGATACAAGCAAACTATTCGCAAGAGTCAATACCCATTGCAGCACTCAGTAATTACCGAAGTCTAAAAAAAGCCACCTTCACAAAGTTTCCAGGGTCAATGACCAACCGACAAACTTGATCACAAACTGTCTAACTTAAGTACAAAAAGAATCACTTTACCATAAATCAAAGGTGTCTCAAAAACTGTCAGCTGATTACGTCCTCTATTCAGAACCAGAGTGGCACACAAACTGATTAAACCCCCTCAGAAAATCGTATGCAAGTTGGACGATCCACTATCAAAAGAAGATAAGATGAATATCATCTAAAAAAAATTAGTTGCAAAGGCTGTCAATATCACTGTGCTAATCAATACAATATGAGCATCAACCAGGAATCAAACGGCATGATATATCATGACTGATATCAATGCACTTAGGTGGGAAGAGCACAACCACATCGATTGGAACAACTTGGAAATAATTAAACAGGAAAGCTCAAAAACTGCAAGAGAATTCATGAAAGAGTGGGACTCCAACCAAGTGATAACCAACAGATGCATGGAGGCTGACTACTACGAAGAGATCAACCAAACCAAACAAGCCAACTTATAATCGGATATTAGGTCAGTAGCACAGATTAGATGGTGACCCCAGCAACAAAGGTCAACATGCGGTCAGAAATATTTTATACCATTCCTACCTCAAAATCGATATTGCTCAAGGTTGGCAAATATCCTACATAAGCATTCATGCAACTTGGAAATACTTCACTGTTTCATGAGGTCACCTAGCCTGGTGACGAAATGTTCAAAAACACAGCAAAGCTCAAGAAAATCGAACATCTATCGACACTTGTTTTCGATTTATATAGTCACCATTTGCTGCCTAACTTTATTCCTTGTCTGCAGCATATCTCTCGAATCTTCCTTTTTTTATAATACTTTAATTTCACGAATTACTTAAGGCCGTTTGGTTTTTGGAGGGAAATGATAGAATGATGGTCGATGGAGGGACCGAACACGCAGACAGAAGAGCATCATGTGGCTGAGTGGTTGGCGCTCATGAGAACGGCATAAACGGCTGACAGATCGCACTCAATTCAGACTAAATAATGACGGATATCTCGGATTATATTGTACTGGATGCTACTGATAAGAATGCATATAAGTAGTATATTTCGAGAGGTCGGCAGAAGTCATAAGCAGTTACGAGCGACGGGTAAATATTCTGCACAAAGAAATGCAATACAGAAAGTGAGCGTATCAAGAGCAAAAGGAGATAGAAGAAGGAGAGGAAATGAAATACATTGTGCAAATGAATATTTCAATTGAAAGGTTACAATATTTCATCAGTAATGTATAAAGTGTTATAATAAACATTCTTCTACGTTTCATCTTTTGCCGATCTCTTACAATATGACTGTGTTTTATTTCTGCACATATAATATGGATAAAACTCAATAATAATATAGGTAGAAATTATGCAACTAAAAATGTACAACTGAATAACAACGAAAGCGAAGGTCATAAAATAACCAATAACTTCTTATCAAAGCTATTTTTCTGCCAGAAAATTTAACTGAAATGAATAAATTCTTCTACTTTTAACAGTTTAATCTCACTTTTATCTATCTACCAACGGATAATTCCCTGTCACACTAAGTAGAGGATATAAGTATATGTTTATACTTTGATATTAAAACTGTTTTAGGTTGTGAGCAGTTGATTAGAAACTCAAAAAAAATGGACGGATGCTATTCTGTCAATATTGCTATTCACCTTGTATACTATACGGAAACTTCATTTACCCTATCTATTACAACGTCTAATGTTAACTGAGATAAGAGTAATTTGGAAAAAAAACTAAGTGTTGCCTGACTAAAACGTCATCAATCCATGAAAGTCCGTGACAGCTTGAGTCGTGTAAGCTTCAACGTTGAAGTTTGCAAGACAATAAAAATTGATAATTGAAGACTGCAGATGATATGACTCAAAATCCATTGACAGAGTTGATGTGCCAGATCGTACCTTAATCCTAATCCTTGTGTGCTGTTAATTCAGCTCTTTTCTTCCTTGTATTTTGATACGCTGATGTGTGGTGAAATAGATCGTTACATAGAACCGCCAAGTTCTATGATTATAATAACCGTATAATAGTTGTGCAAGCCTACCTAGGCTATGCGCTTCAATGTATGTTTTTTTAGTTACTGTAATGAGATTCCTCGACATCTTATGCACCGATAGCCACTAGTACAGCTAACAGCAAAAGACTCCATAGAAGGATAATTTAACAGTATTCCGAAAATAAGGACAGTAACATAAATATTTAAGGCCGACTGGGGACATCAAGCACCAGGCCCTCGAGTGGAACCCCGATGGGAAGCGACGAGTTGGGCGTCCGAGCTAAGGGTGACGTGGAGGAGATATTGCGAGGAGGAAATGAGAGCTTGTGGGCTGTCATGGAGCCAGGTTCAAAAGATTTCAGAGGACAGAGTGCAGTGGAAACGTGCTACTGAAGCCCTATGTTCCACTAGGAACCCAAGGCACAAATAATAATAACATAATGATAATAACATAAATATTTAAAAGCTGTAACAATGAAGACAACGGTTGTCGCCATTGTACAGGATGTATTTTTACTTGTGTAATCCCGGCGTAGTATATCAGAACAAATAACAAAAACAAACATTTTGTATTATTCCTCAACGTTTCGATCTTGCTAGGAAGATCCTTTTCAAGTGACCACATATTATATCAACGAGTACGACCAAAAGTGACAAGAACCCCCTGCCTTCAAAGATGTCGTTACGAGGTTTTGCTATTCAAAACGTCATATCACCAATTATGACGGAAAATTCTTGACGCCTATATAACTTAGTCATATATTCTCGAGTTACGAGTTGTATATACATATATAAAAGTGACAGCATCATGCGAACTGAACCACAGCACACTGAAGTACAACTAAAACTATATAACCTATGTTGCAATTACAACCAAATGTCCTCTGAATACTGGTGCCCGAGTGATTTTCAGCTTAATACTCTATTTTTGCTGAATCATGCAACTGCATTACTTTGAAAAAGAAACTATTTCACGTTACATGTTTTTTAATCATTCTGGGAGGTTATAGTCATCAACAGCACGTACAAAAAACGAAACAATCTAACTTCTTTGGCATTCAAGCCCACTTAATCTTGTATAATGGTTGTAACAAGTGATAAAAAAAGAGGATAACATTCAAGTTTTAAGAACATGACAACAGATCTTTTCTGGTTAGACAACTCGATGACATATTATTCTAGGTATGGGAGATATATTTAGTAAACCATTTATTATACTTCGGAAAATTCACTTGTAAGACGATTAAGACGCATGAGAAATATGCAAACCGGTGTGCTAACTGATTGATACAAATCGAGCAGCAGCTTGAACTATTATGCAGTTATATAGGGTCATTTTTTGATCATATCTAGATGGAAGATAAATGGTCTTCGAAAGGATACAACATGATGTCGACAACTTACAAATGACCAAGTGCCAAGTAGTGATTTACTTCAGGATACATCTTCCCATGTTATGATGAGAAGCTGTGATTCTTGATGTCAGTTAAGTTTAATGTCAAGCTGACTACCATACACGACAATAGGCGCTTGATGGGTTACATCGTGAATTGGGGTCGTTACGTTTTCGTTCCTGATGGTTGAATATTTCAGAAGGCTTCAGTAGCTACTTTAACAGACTACTTTATTATTTATACTTTGAAAATGACCCTTTTTACAATTTTTTTATGCCATAACCAGCAGTTTGTTCTTCCCGCATTTTATGCTTTACTGGTTGATCTAATTTTTTAATTCCGGATAACGCCAATTTGACTTCCTTGAGTTGATTGCTGAAGTAGCAGAAAGCTTTTAATTCAAACCCAAATTGTTTTTATATATTTGGTTGCCTGAAGTGTTGAAGGTATGGGTATCCAGAAAGTAGAGAGATAACTGAACACAGAATGATAATGTGGTCATAACCAGACATGATAACTCTGAGGTGAGTCACATACAAGGCTATGGATCCGCGCCTATAAGGAGCTTCACAAAAAGACGAAATAGCTGTCTACTACTCTCTAGTATTAAGCATTTCTCCAGCTGAAGTCAATTATGACAAAAACTGAGTTGAAATCCGTTAGCTACGCACAAATTATCAATGCTGCTGATGAAAATCTGTAAAATCAGTTGACCCCATTACACGGTCATGGAGAAACCGATTGTATACAAGGCTATTTCAACAAATCGGGGATAATTTTATTCAAAGTTTAACTCGAGTAAAATCTTATTAGTATATGAATAAACTAACAGTATGACAGATACACTCAGCACAGAAAACAAACACAATCTAACTGCTGTTTTCTTAGTGTTTTATATGCTCAGAGTAAAATGTCTATCACAAATATTCTCATTTAACACACTAGAAATAGAATTAGATTTCGGGTCACGAGAATGTCACATATGGGACACACAGCTACACTGATCGATCTAAAAATATTCGCAACTGGTAGTAGGCGCGAAAGCCTCAGAGCATATTAGATTTTTCAATACCCCAAAAGTCTGCTTTACCATTTAAGCAAATTGCAACAAAAATATCAGTATAAAGAATAAACTGGTTCTTAAAGGGAAATGAGTTTATGCAATCTGGAAAACACTACATATAGAAACTATTATTATTTATTATATTATTATTATTAGTCCCTTGGTTTCCTAATGGGACATAGGGCTTCAGTAGCACATCTCCAGTGAACTCTGTTCTCTGAAATCTTTTGAACCTGGCTCCACGACAGCCCACAAGCTCTCATTTCCTCCTCGCATGATCTCCTCCCTGTCACCCTCACCTCGGACGTCCAACTCGTCGCTTCCCATGGGGATTCCACTCGGCCTGACGCGTGATGTCCCCAGTCGGCTTTCTAAGTGTATGCCCAATCCATCTCAACTTCCTTCCACTGCATATTTGTTGGGTGATAGGTTCTTGGTTGGTTCGTTCCCAGAGCTCCTTGTTGCTTATTCTATCTGACCATCTGAGCTTCAGTAACGAGCCAGCGTAGGCAATTGTTGATGAATGTCTGTAGTTTGTTGGAAATACCTTTCGTAACGCCCCAAGTCTCTCAACCATACACAAGCACTGACTTGACGTTGGTGTTGAAAATCCGGATCTTGTTCATGCTGTATGCTGAGTGCAGATCTCCACACTGGTTTCAGGCTAATGTACGCCTGTCTCGCTTTTCCGATTCTGACTTTGGCATCCTCGTCTGTGCCACCGCTGCCTGTAGTTGAAACAGTGCTGACTAGATAGGTGAAGGAGGTTACTTCCTTTAAGTTTCCCCTGATCATGGTGACTGCAGTTTGTTGTTGTTGTTGGTGGTGGTGGTAGTGCGGTATCTTCATCACCTCTGTCTTCTCTATATTCACCTGAAGTCCCGTTTTCGCTGCCTCTTCTGCCAACTTGTTAGTTTTCGCCTGTAGGTCTTCAAGTTTGTGTGACATCAGGCACAAGTCATCGGCGAAATCTAGATCTTCTAGGTTCTTTTCATAGAAACAAATTAGTTTCAGGTAATTCACTGCAACACTTAAATTTGTATTGATGCAGTAAACACTATCACCTGAGAGCAGGCTACAACAATCTGTCTTCCAAAAATAGATCACTACAGTTAACAAAGGAACCAAAACAATATGTTAGGTATGTGGAAAAATTAACTCTGACAAATTACAGACAATTGTCATCAATAACAATATAGAAACAGGCATTACTGGGTGACAGTTCGAGTTGCCACATCTCATACCAGCACAACAACTGACACAGAAATAAAATGAAAGATAAGGAAATAGAGAAGAATCAGTCAAAAACAGTAGAAAGCAGTAAAAGAGAGGAAGTAGGAATGAGAAAATACTGAATACTGATTTTATACGGATACGTCTGCGCAACTGAAATCAACTCCGAGCCACGTCACCTAGAGTCTCCAATCATTGGTTTCTGTCGTCATGCAGAGCCTGATCAGACAGTCGACATTTACCGAGCAATACAAAAAGATGAAAGATACACTTCAACTAGCCTACTATTTTATGGCTGAATTCCTATTCTCGTACGTTTTATGTATTTTAGTTCACACTACTTATACGTATTAAGTAGCGTTACTTATTTGAGTATTTTTTGCCCTATACACTGTTGATTGCTGCTGGTTCCTTATCGTGATTTCAGCAGACTGGTTTCTCTTCCTTTCCCAGTCAATTAACAAACTATAATAATATTTCGCATAACTCTTATTTACTACGTGTGCTGGCGCAATGCTTGATCACTTGGTAAAGTGGCATGCTGTCTACTTGTTTTTGAAATCACACTTATTAATTGGGCCGTGGACATATCATGATTCGAGGTTTTTACTCTTGCTAGTATCCATCCTAGAGATACACCATTAGGTCATGTATTTAAGGCGAATCTCATGTTTCATCACAACCTCAGAGTTTGGTTTTGAATTAACACCAAGAAATCTAAAATGCATATCACAGAATTCATCATGTAGTCACTGGACACGAGCCGTCACATACCGCAACTACTTCGTACCAATACTTTTGATCATAGTCTCAATAGCTAAAAACAGTTACTATAATCCATAAAATTTAAAACATGATACTTTGAAAACTTACTCCCTTCCAATCATGACCACCACTATCTTCACTTGGACAGTAGTCTTCATCTTCATCAGAATTGTAAGACAGTGGAGTTTCCTGACCTATGAAGTGAAAGGAAAACAGCAGAAACGGTTCAGAAACTATTTTTATAACATTAGACAGATCAACTTCAGTGTATATGAATATGGCACATCTACAGAAAATAATATCTGAACAAAACAAAATACAGACTACTGAAATCGAATACAGTAAGCTGAAATCCCGAGAAAATATTTTTTTAAACGGTTGGGGATTCAAAATCCTATGGTACGTGGGATAAAACGGCTAAAGGTCTCCGAAAAAGTATGTAGTAAGTATGTTGTTGGAAGTCACCAACTCAACAGAACCATGAAGAAATTTGCAGTCACCAGATTTGAAATGTACTGAACAAACAAACAAATCAAAAGACGAAGTTTATCGGAACAATGTGATGTATTTGCGAAATACATTTCGAACAATCTGATCACACATTTACTTGTCAAGTCAATATGTATTAAACCGAGGAGTGGGGGGACAAATACAACAATTAACACAATAGGGGATTAAAATTTAGACTATACCTACCTTGGTAAACTTTGTTTTCTTACCAAGATTAGGATTAACTATGTCACTTCCTGTTCGTTTTCATCTTAATTTTAATCCCCTGTTGTGTTAAGTGTTGTATTTGTCCCCCCACTCCTCGGTTTAATACATATTGACTTGACAAGTAAATATGTGATCAGACTGTTCGAAATGTATTGCGCAAATACATCACATTGTTCAGATAAACTTCATTTTCTAATTACGCTATCGAAATTCACAAAAGGGACTGTTTCAAACAAATCAAAGCCGAACGTCACACAAAGTGCATCAGTTCAAGTCACCACACTGCACAGCAGTACACAAAGAGCAAATAGAGATAGAAGAACAATGTGAAAGGAGACATAGAAGAATGAGAAGAGAGATAATAAATAGATGAAGGTTAATGAAAATACCCCAGACTTTGAAAATGACAAAGAGTATACGCAACCACCGATTTTCAGCCTAATCGTTGATTACTGCTGTCCCAGGGAACCTAATCAAGGAGTCCACACCTCCGTACAAAGCTCGAACTGAAAGACAACGGGAGCTTACAATACGAAGCATTGTGTTGTACATTTGCAGTTTTGTTGATCTTCTGGTGGCTGAATCGCACAACGAAATTTGCATCGAAGTTAACCAGCGCCTTCAGTTTCACTTCTTTGCGAAGGACATGAGACGGTAGGGAACAAATGAATGAAGAATAACTAGGCATTTCAGATTCAGAAGCAGAAGCTGGTGTCCTTATTTAAAACCCCATCACTTGGAGTCTCCAACAACAGATTCCTCACAGTGAAGTAAACCGTTCGCGAACCAGAGATGCTTCAAAAATATCTATTACCTCGCATTATCCATAATAACCGATTTCCAGAAATATCACAAGGAGTCTCCAGCCATGGAGAAATCACCGTGTACCACATCAAACAGACTAATCACGTATGGAATTACATCCCACCGCAATGACCGATTGTTATACTTACATTACTGTAGTCTCTTCACATAATCTTTATTCAGTGCCCAAGTCACAGCTGTATAATCGGAAGAGAGCTGACAGTAGTGTAGTATACTCGTCCTTTAAAAGGTAGTCACATATCTCATCAGCAATAAATATGAGATAAGTTGGCAAATACCAAACAGGCCTTTTGAACGCAAGCTGAGGTTTGGGTAGATGCAACTCTACAAGTGGTCGACGCGTTTGACGTAACTTCAAAAATAGTTGGTGCAGATCAGTAGAGCTAAAGCATCACCTTACATTTCGCAAACGTAAAAGGCATGCCCAAAAATACTCGTGTTTCTGCTAAAAGTCCCCAGAAGAGTCTGCATTTTAGCAGTGTCTTTGCCTAACAGCACTTTATCGACTAAGTTACTTTAGGTACCTTACTGGGAGTAAGTCGACTCCTAAATTCAGGAGGAGAACCTTGATTTCGTTTCAATAATTGGTCGGTATCTCCATTACAGTTAGAAGCTCACAATACCTTTCGACCAAAAGAGTTTAAATGCTGTTTTAAGGGTCAACAAACATGACAGCTGTCAGCTGCCGGTAAGTATGCCTGTATTCCAAAACCTGAAGAGTAAAGCACCTGATAGACAAACTGTCTGAAACGAGCCTGGTTTTTTTGGGCTCCCGGCAGACGTCAGGTAACTATCGAATCCAATATCTTGGATATGATGTTAGTAAAACTGGTCCCCCTCTGGGTTTCAAAAGAAGACTTCTGATTTCTCATATGCCGGAATGATCCATGCCAAAGTCATGGGACTACTTCTGATCCAAATACGCTACCTAATACTTCTGCATTTTTCTAACACCTTCCTTAAAACCTGACCCAAACCCATCAGGTACCACTGCTCTTCACCGTTTCGTATATGAAACAGCATGATTTTCAAGGCGAGTTAGATGACTGATGTCTGCGTCCCATTCAGGTTCGGGATGGATGCTGGCAATTGGGACGTCAGTATAGCGATTTGAAGTGCCCAACGTTCTAGTCACCTTTACTTAGAAATTATCGCAGACCAATTCTTCTCAGTGATGATGTCACTCCTTGCCAGTATCCTCAACAAGCTTCAGTAATTTCGGGGTATTACCTAATGCTGATGCCTTCTTCATTTCTCTTGCTTTCGTCATCGAATACTGTTTACGACCATTGCGAAGACTAGTGGTCGAGTTACGTTTAAGTTGCTCTCGCTCCTCATTGTGGTCAGAGCTTGGTGGAATAAGTCTTTTCGCATTAATGAGTTCGAAGGACGTTGAGGAGATCGATTGACATTTGCGTAGGTCACTAGACATCTTTATCACTGTTTCTATGCCAGGTTTCCTCATGATAAGTAGTGCTGTTAAAGTTAGATAGATGCCTAGTTACCTCCTCACTAAATTTGTACTTGATATTCCAATCAAGCGTACTCAGCCTTGACTGTTTTCAGGCGGTATTAAGTCTATTAGGAAATCGTCTACAGTACCTATGAAGTCTAAAAAAACCACCACCCCTACAAGTGTGTTTCTCGAGAATTGAGGAAAAAGTGAAGGGAGTGAACATCGCTGATGGATACTATTTGACATCACAAGAGATCACTGAACGTAAGCTTTAACAAGACTATGGGTGTTTGAGTGTACAACTTTCAGCAAGGTATACTTCAAAAGGCACTCTTCTAGACGAAACACACTACCGAAAGACTTTTCGATGGACTAAGTCGAATGTAGTACTGAGCTCAAACAATACACCTAGGATCGGGAGCCATGTTTCCAGATATGGCGAAAAGCAAGGATATGATAGACAGTCCGTGGTTAGATAAAATAGTGAATAATTCTCTCAGGTTTGTTGTTAACGATATTCAATTAGAGACTGAACGATTAAGGAATGTAGAATCTTAGACAATACGTAAACTAAGCTAATTTGTCCGTGACTATCATAAAAGAATTCCTTTCCTTTTTTTATGGACTGCAACAATCATCATCATCATCATCATTATCAACATAGGACCAGGCATTACTGCGTAACGGTCCGAGTTGCCACACAACAATCAAGGATAAGCACGTGGTCATTTTCAGATTCTACACCTCAGCTAGTCATCTGTGACAGACGGTAGGACATTTCAAATTACGTAGAGGCTAAAAAAATTTAAAGCTAAAATTGTCCTTCAAATGCATATTTACTAACCAGTAACTGCATTCTTCCAAAAACGTGAAGAGTAATCCTCATTGTTTACACATCTGGTATCTTCCTGTTCTTCTGTTTCTTCAGTTTGGTCATCATTTTTACCATTCTCTTTTATTATATCGCCTTCAGGATCAGATAAAACTTGCTTTTCTGTATTAGAAGAAATTCCATTGTCAATTAATTCAGTGGAAGAACTACGAACAGTTGGATTCGATTTTGCACGGGATCTGAGTAAATGACTACGTGATACACGTTTATGTGTACCGTTTAGGCTTTCTGTGGTGATTCGTTTCGAGTGTTTAGGAGTTGTAGCAGCCGACGATGGATCAGAGCACGAAACATCTATAGATACTGGACTGGCACTGTGTGAACAAGGAACTGAATGCGGATATGTAAATGAAGTCAGCTGCGCAAAATAGATGAAAAAATAAAAAAATTCAAATAAGATTTTATCAATTTGAATAAATTTTTCTTGACTGTACAACATTGTACATTGGATAAATATACATCAAATTATGTTGTTTTAATAAATGCTAATTCGAGTGATATTGAAAATGACATTTACTTCATAGACAAGACTTAAAATCTAATCTAAGCAAGATCATTGAAACTTGTTGACCAATTTATAGGCATTAGGATAAAATGCATTGGCTAACCTATTTGGAACAATACCATAACATCAGAATAAGGAAAGTCATATCGCATGAAATTACAGAAAGATTTTCATGTCTAAATTTTAAATTAACTTTAAAAAAAGGATAATACAACTAAATTACCACATGAAGGTCAGTGTACTCCATTATGAATTCCAGCTATTATCTAGTGATTATTAATGCCATCTAATTGGCCAACTTTGGTAAATGGAGCTGATTTCTTACTAATTGGACTCATTGTTTGAAAGTCAAGTGCTTAAGCCAATGGAGTTATGACTGTGGCTATAGGAATCCCAGTTTTTTGTTATATCGATGGATTTCCTTTTTTGAGTGACTCCAAACATTGAATGAAACCATGAAATATAGAAGATTATTAGGATTGTTGTATTATATGTCAATCATTCGCTCACGTTTGCTGTTAATCAATGAGATCGCCAATGTCATTCTATACATTAATCCTGTACATTAATTTATGTACTTTTTAAAATAGATTCATTGGATTATAGGCTGCCAAAAGCAATTTCACTTTTTTTCAATGTGCTTTAACAGAATCGTAACTAGTTTTGCACAGCCTCCAACTAAGAATAAACTAAGAAAAGTGTATTAAAGCCACTTAATAAGTGTGGCATGTAACCTATTATTGTTAGGGTTGCCTATATCCTTTATATTCCATACTTAGAGTTTGTATATATTTGAACTAGTTTATTGGCGTTCTTTTTCCGCGCATGGGTCATATTTCGTATGATCAGCCATTGTTCTGATTGGCCCCTGCCCCTTTAAATGTACTAACTATTCCTTGTCTCTCAAGGTTACTGCAAACTCTATAAAAAGGGTCCCTTTTCACTCATGAACGTTTTCAGTCCAAGATACTATAAACTCATCTGATTTCCAGTCTTTTGATTTTTCTTTGCGAATCACTCGGGTTGAATTATCTGAACCCTCGACTATAAATCGTTAAGTATATCCGTTCGTTCTTACAACTCTGCATCATAACAATTACATTCATACTGACATTTTATTCATTCGTATGTCTTTTGATATGGTTTTCTACGCAACTGCTTCTTTCATTATCACCAGCATATTTTATTTCCCTTCACTATATATCCCATATAAGTGTAAAGGTTGATCATAAGATTAGAGGTCATAAGATAGTTAAACAAATCTGTGCATACATTAAAGTAATCAAATTAGGTATCTGAAGAACTCATGCAACTACAATGACCATAATGACAGAGGATAAGGAGAGCATTAGAATGATATATATTCGACTAAAGATTTGAGGAATTTGATGTTTCCTCTTAACACTTCTATGGACAGCTTTGCATGTCTTTACAGTAATTTAAACGACTATAATATGCAGGAATGCTATTTTTCTAAAAACTCAACTTTACACATCAGAACAAAAAACTTATGGTCAAAGACGTTATACTAAGATGTTTACATTTAAAGTACAAGTTGCATGACATAAAAAGTGATAACAATAAAGAAGGCTAATATCGAGTAGCCGGTTCGCATAGCATGACATTATGATTACATGACAAAAAGATTTAAATGTGAACTCACACAACGCAATAAAGATTCATCAGATTTATTCTTGTCTGACAGTATATCAGCATCCGATGTCGATCGACTAATTAGCTGGTCAGTTGATGATACCGGTCTATTTCGTGAAACAGAACGAGCGGTTAGGGTATCATTATTTTCATTATTTATACAACCAGATATGTGACCAGAACGACGGGGTTTCTTAGCTGGTGGCAATGACTCCGATGGCTCCAATGAAGAAGTTACACTGGAAGGAGGAGTGGCAGTACGTCGACCACTCTTTAAACGTATAGGTCTACCTCTGGAAATTGGTGAATTCACACTGTGATCATTTATATTTGAAGGGATTCCATATGTAGCTAACAATTCGTCCAATGACATTTCACTTTCCTAAAAGTAACAATAGTAAACAAACCGCTATGTACTTATATCATCCTGTTATTTATCGACAAGAGAAACAGAGCAGCCAGATAAATACATGAGTATCAGCTAAAAAAAACAAAGATATCTTATCAGTATAAGTGTAAAACTTCGGCGCAGTGATAGAATGTAATTCCATATTAAATTCGTCTATTTGAAATGGCACACAGTGATACAGTATTATTTACTTGATGAGACATTTCAGTAGTATGTCTAACAAATCAAAAAGATTGTACAAAATACACTGTTATTTACGGGAGCCATACTATGCGCTGGTAGCAACTTCACTCTACGCTTTGTAAATAGAGCACATAATGGGACTACATCCTGGGCAAAAGAGTCCCAGTCGCCAACAGACAATCAAAGCAGGAGTTTTGGGGACAGTATTGCTAATAGTTATGCAAAAAATAATTTATTACTTGAGGCATGGCAACGGTAATAAACCCCAACTAACTATTTCGAGTGTATCTAAATCTTCATAAGTTGTTCAAGCAGGTAGATATGTACCTAAAACTTGAGTTGATAGATACAGTCACTTGGAGTGGAAAAAACACGTCGCCTTTTTTAAGACTCATACCAACATGATGATCAGTTAGTCAGTTAGCTGGCACGTAGTTTCGTTATATTAGCGACCAATAAACCTATGAAATTCAACACTGTATGAAATAACACTAGAAGTTAATCAAGTTGCTGTTTCAATCCCAGGGTCTATTGTAATTTCACAAAACAAAGAATATGCTGTAAAAACATTATTTCTAGTGCTAGGTGACTGAAAGCAGATGACATGAAACCCTATTGAAGATACGTTCCATATGTAATTCATTAGAGACATAAAACCTCCAACATTCATAAAGTCAGTGTCATCTGTGAGAATGTGACCAGTGCTGACTAGTAAAAGTCTTCGCTGCTGAGGTATTTTATAACACTGTGACTCAATGCTTGTGAGACCATATAGCGTCACCCAAGTTTAGTTTATCGTTCCTCAACCTTTTCTTAAAAAAAGGTACGACTTTTCCTTGATTTTGTTGAGATCTCTGTTAAAACCCCAGTCGGTCATCATGATAACACCGTATAAGCTATCGGTATATAAATGAAAGTCTCTTAGTTGAGTAAATCAAACTGTTAAACCTTTACCGCTCAATACAAGCTTGATACAAACACAGTTACACTATAAATAATCAAGAGGATTATTTACTGTTGGGGTGATGTTTGATATTACCTCACTACTACACTTACCAGTAACTGATAACGTTTAGCGTCTCCGTGACTGAGTAGCTTAGTTGATAAAGCTCCGGTGTCTGAAGTGGTGGGTACTTGGCTCGAGTCTCGGCGAAAACAATAACATGGGTGCGAAACCCGTCCCACCTACAGAGGTTTGGGTAGCCCGTAATATCACTACATGTAACACTGCCCGCGGTGCAAACGTGCACCTGGCAGCTGTGTGAATTTCAATTTTGATTCAACACAAGTGACTATTATTCATCGTAGACTGACGTCAGTTGGAGGGACAAAGGAAACCTGGGAGCACTGGACAGCTGTTTCGTCCTAGCATGGGACTCCTCAGCAGTGCGCACCCACAACCACGCCAGGGATCGAACCCGTGACCTTGAGGTTCCATGGTCAGCGCGTTGCCATTGAGCCACTGGGTCAGAATCCAGTCGTCCATATTTCCAACTTCTGTTAGCTCATTGGTGACTAGCTTCGAGAGGTAATTCTCAGTTCCAATGAGAAGTCGTGACCGGTGGAGGGCAAAGCCTGATGGTCGTGAGGACAATTACTCATCGACGACACTGAGTGGCGGTTGCGCTATTTCGTGAGCTAACAGAAGTTGGAGATGTGGACGACTGGATTCTGACCCAGTGGCTCAATGGCAACGTGCTGGTCACGGAACCTCAAGGTCACGGGTTCGATCCCTGGCGTGGTTGTGGGTGCGCACTGCTGAGGAGTCCCATGCCAGGACGAAACAGCTGTCCAGTGCTCCCAGGTTTCCTTTGTTCCTCCAACTAATATCAGCCTACGATGAACAACAACTTGAAATATTTCGAAGTCCCCACAACTTCCTCAAAATACAAATGATTGTAATAATTTCACTAATTACAAGAGGCGGATATTCATCTAGAAATAGCTTCACCATTATAACTTTTAAAGACTATAATTTACTTGTCAGCTCCTGTTATACCACTTAGAATGTCAATCTGTAGTTTATCTTAGTTACTTTCAAGTACAGAATCACGTATAATAACAATGAACTAATATCAAAATTTGATACTGAGTGGCTTTCAAGTGAAACTAACAGATGAAAGAAGCATTATGACAAGTTGAGAAGGAAATGAACTTACCTTCATAAGGCTTGAGACTTCTTCCTCGTCAGCAGCATCTTCTTCTGGTGGAATACTGTCATCATCTTCGGCTGAAACATCACGTTCATCAAAATCGCTATCACTCGTCCCATCAGTTTTAGGTGTGACACTGTCTGCAGATGGATCAAAACTGTCTGCGGATTGAGCCGACATCGCAGCCGTACTGGAACCATAATCCCGTGGGTGTTCTGAAGACTCTGAAATGGGTATTTTTGTTTCCCACTTTTGCTCAGTAACCATAATTTACAAAATTCAAGATAAAACGAAACATTCACGTTATGATCTGAAACGAAAACAGATAATTTGAGGAATTATACATAACAAACCTTTATATAAATCTATGAATTTATAAGGGACAGTTATTCAGGTAACAGTAATTTTTATTAAACACCCATGTTACTGTCGGCGTACTAACCTACCAGTCACATCAACTGCTTAAGATTTGAAAATGGACAGATTAAAAAATGATATCAAGCCATGCTACCTTTAATTGTTAGTTCGAGCCATGTGGGGATGTATAGTTCCAAGTTGGGGTCGGTGTAAAAACCGAAATAGATAATTGAAGGCTATAGGTCTCATAACTGGGAATCGATAGTATTACCACGGAGGAATTTGTTTGTTTTTTTAAATCATCTTAGCTTTTGTATCACACTTTGTTGTTCGCCTCAACCCCTCTTCTTCTTTTCACTTAATGACTCTACACAACTCTTCACCATATACCTTGTATATTTCGTATTGTTGGTTTGTATTTTGAGTTTCTGACTTGAAGTTTGACAAGCTATACAGTTGAGTAATAGTATCAGACCCTTTGCTGATATTGAGACTAACGTTTACAATACCAATTTGCTACCCGGAAGATGTTGTTCTTAAGTCTATCCACGTAGCTTTCAACCGATAAGTCATGCTATCGAATCCCGCTCCATTCCCATGGTTTGGAAAGTCAGTATTGCTAACCCTTAATTAACAAGTGTATTTCATTGTCTAGTATCTGCACTTGCACATGAGTACTGAGTTACGCTTTCTATATATTTTAAAAAATATATCTGCTGCCCAAACGTCAGTAGGTGAACTTTGAGGAGAACGTGAGACTTGGTAGTTGTGCAGTGTCGTATCACGATATGACTTATACGATTTCAGACAATTAAAAATCTCCATTTCTTATGTTAAAAGTCAAAGATGAACGAAGAATATTCGTCCCAATAACTTCTCACCAAGTTCTACGGTTATAAAATCAGTTTCGTTAACATACTGATAGCCGGAATTTACGGAGAATGCATTTAGGAACAGGTATGGAATTATGATTAAAATTTGGTTCGTTAAGTTTGTGGATGGTAGTGTTGGTTGATAATAATAATAATTTCGTTTTATTTCAAAAAGAAAAGAAAGCGGGGACGAAAGTAGGAACGAAAGAGAGAAGTTAAGAAAGAAACAAAAGAGTTGAGGGAGTACCGTTTATTTATTGGAAGGTCAAAGGAGGAATAGAACTTGGATATATTTTTTTCAAATACAAATTTCAGGCTTCGTTGATCTTATGGCTACAGCTTTCGCTGTATAGAGAATGCGTAAACGAATGGCACATTGTATTCCAAAGACTCTACCATATGCCATGGCCACTGGTTACCAATTAAGTATCAGCGTGAATAAAAAGCTTCATCTATTAGTTACGGATATCTACCACCTTTGGTACCAGTAAGACACCTGAGCAACTTTCGGAAGATAAATATACTGCACAGCAGCAGTTCCCGTCCAACCTCAAGATTTTTCAGCCAAACCCACACAAGGTAAATGACACAAGAAAGCATCTTTTCGATCACAGTTATCTTCTAAATATTGCTAATATGCGGAGGGGTTACAGACTGAGTAATTTCAAGGTTATGCACAGATGTACAGTTTACTAGGGTGACTGATTTTTTCACTTACGTATGCAATGCTAGCTGAATGTGGAAGGACAGAAGATGAGGAGAACCAAAACAGCAGTCACTACTACTCGGAGTCGCGTCGGCTATCAACGTGGAATGCACAAGTAGTAGGGATTATTGACGAAGTCAGGCCACATGAATAACCATAAGTAGTTCTTGTATGTGCCTTTCAGAAGCATAACATCAAAATTTCGAGGAAGGTTGTTGATGATCAGGAAGGATTTATACGTTTTTGTAGAGTTGATACGTCTTGGTTGTCCATACCATGAAAATTGATGTCTTCTTAAAGCCCAAAGCATTTCTGCTTGAGGCACATCATGCATGTCTCTTCTAGAAGTACTGAATGTAGTAGAATTGGATTTTTCTCTTTCAAAATCTAAGCCCTTTCGACAGGGTGCTACAGCGTAGGAGGTAATATATTCCCTAAGATGCTAGTTCAGAAAGAATACTACACTATTACATTCCTGTCCCGTGCGCAGAACTGTCTTAAAAACAACGGTATACACTAATCGCAATTGTAGTAGTTACCCATAATCTGACAACCATTCAACCTTACTGAAGAGTACGAACCCAAGGAATAACTGATGCAGTCAGCTGAGCTCTGTCGTGTTATCATGATGCTTAACCCTAACCATCACTTTAAGGCAATGGTTATCGACCTATATTATCTTCAAACCTATGTAGAACGCGCTCTAGCACTGATAACTTCCCGTAACATACTTTTCAGCCGGGAATCCAATTACAGTTACCTGGCAGTAAAAAGGTTTTAAACAGTATAAATCGGCAGTTACCTCCAAAGCATCCACCAGTGAAGAAGTACACTCCACTAATCGCTTTCCCTTAAAAAGAATTCATTCCTCGTGGCATTGAGGAAAGCCTAAAGCATAACTGAAAATTTGCGTCTAACAGAGATCTAGAACCGGTGAACGTGAGAAAATATGTACAGTGAAGTGAGCGCGTATTGTCATTGATAACAGGCACCATTAAACTGGTGCGTTTCAATAAGGGTTAGGCAAACACCCACTTATCACTTATTGCCAGCTGTAACATTAGTAGGGCTGTACCTCGATAGTTTACGCATTCGACTTTTAAAACTGACTTTCATACACAATTCTGACGAGCGAGACCATTTTCATTTATTGCTTGTATTACACCGTCGTTGATTGGACCGAATTGATGAGTCTCGGTTGGTAGATGGGCTCCTGTGCGGATGCCTCGATATTGCCTGTCTTTTAACTATGTATCGTAATGATGGGCAGTGGCTAGCAGTGGAATCTAGGATGGGCATTTCGTCCTATTTGGGACTCGTCAGCTGGATGTACCTGCCTCCCAGTGAGTGGTGTTGTTCCCACCGGGACTCGGGAGCGATCGCTTTAAACGCAAGAGCGTTTTCCCGAGTCCAAGTCCCGGTGGGAACAACACCACTCACTGGGAGGCAGGTACATCCAGCTGACGAGTCCCAATAGGACGTAGTGCGCATCCTGGACTCCACTGCTAACCACTGCCCATTGAGACCATTTTCAGTCTGAAACACTTAACCGCGTGTCAATATACGCTGAACTAAGCAAAATTTTGACGAGGCGATACGAAACAAGTACACGGTTTTCTGAACAAGATGTGACATTTAACCAACTAGTCCCCTATAGCTCTGCAAAGTTTGAATATTTTCACTAACCACCGATCGATAGCCCCTTGGCGTGGTGGTGGAGCTTGCATATCATAATGACCCAATGAGTTGTACTGGTGTAACGCTTGTTCCCTCGAAATCTAACCATACCTGAAAGGTCTGCTGAATATTGGTTAGACAAAACGTAGTTACTGTTTTAGTGAGCATAGCTACAATATGACGGGGGTCTGAGGGCGGGTTTGTAACAGCAGTAATGATTCATCGCGGATGGTCAGCAGTGACAAACTGATGCTACCTTTCCTATAGGGTTGGTTTAATAAGACCAATCACAATAAAAGCACACTACCCTATACCCTGTAGCATACCGGTGCCTGCGACAGAGGTTCATAACTGCGTTCCAGAAATGCAAAAACCTCAAAAATTCGTAAATGGCCGTATATGACCAGCTTCAAACAGATGTGCCATGGGCTCTGCGGTCATCCACTAACTCTTCCTTCCCAGGTACCCCGAAGAGAACTAGCCATCCATAATGTGGGCAGCCCAGAAGTGTAATCTGTCAGCACGCTTCCAGTAATGTCCAAAACCCAGTAAGAGATGACACTCTACGTCGCCTTAACTTCTTGATACCAATGATAAGCTAATTATAACTCCATCAACCTCTCGCTCTGCAACCATTGCCTGCGAAATACTACTCTCAGTCTTCTAAATCTCCGCTATCAGTTTCACATTGAAGCTCTAAATGTCCATACTATCAGCTAAATCGGATAGTAGGTATCCCCCCCCCCTGTAACTCGGGAATCTCAACCCATGCATGTATTCCGCGCTTCTGAGACACGCTAACAGGACCCGAGTGTGGTTATTAGCTTGAAATCACATGACCAATGTAAAAAATCTTTGAAATTCACTTAACACGTGTCCGGAGATTCTAATGGTTACTCCAAATGGAATAACTGGTGTAGGGATAGCATTAAGTTGTATAGTAGGAAGCGTACTTTTCGACTGGATACTAATCAACAGCAGCCAGTGTGCTGTCCACCTGGATGGGTCTGTAAGACAGGAAAGATAAGGAAACTTGCTGGTGCCTCTTCATAATCGTCTACAAGCCCGCCGACTGCAGTTTGGATGATGCAAAGTATAAATCTTATCAAAAGTTGTCAGTTTCGCTACAAGACGCAAAATGTTCAAAATAGCTATCGTAATATGTGACTTTAACACTCATGTAGGAAATCTGAGTCGGTCGCAAAGGTATCTTCGGGGTATCAACGACACCAAAGCCGTGTTCAGTAAGTAGTTGGCTAGGCAGTTATCGGAACAAAATACTGTCACTCATCCAGAAGAAGCTTGGTGCCATCTTTAGTCTGCTGTAAAAGCAGCGTTGAAGACCGTAGCCGACTCCAAAATAGGGTCGAAAGAGAGCCAGTGGATATCAACAGCTCCTTCCGAACTGATGGATGCACATGAACGCATCCCTGCAGGCTGTGAATACAATGAAGAGCGAGCGCAACTGTAAAGTAGATTGAGAAAAGTCTACGCAACGATCGCCAACAGTGGTGGGCAGCGAAGGCTAAAGAGATGGAAAAGGCAGCGGCGATCGGTAGTAGTAGATAGTTATTTAGACTTAATAAGGAGACTGGGGGAAAAGATCAACAACAGTTAGTGAGGCTATAGCTTGAAGGACGGATCTGCGATTCACTCGCAGGGGAGCCGACTGGAACGAAGGGCAGAACACTTCGAGGAACAGTTTAACCGGCCTCCAGCCACTATTGCGTTGCCCACTATCCAGTCGGATCCTGAATAGGACATAGAGACAGGCCCCCCAACACTAGAAGTTGAGAAAGCTGTAGGTAACTCGAAAAGAGGAAGGGCAGCAGGACCAGACGGACTACCTGCTGATGTATGCAAGAATGGTGGTAAGGTGCTCTTAGTCAGGTTAGTGGAAGTGTTAGCTAGTATATGGGAATCAAATACGATCCCCTTTGACTGGTCTAAGTCACTGACTATCCCAATCTTCAAGAAAGGCGAGTCCTCTTGTGATAACCACAGAGGAATCAGCCTGACGAACATAGTATCCAAAATCCTAGGTTCCATAATTCTCCGACGCCTGAGTGGAGATCGGGAACAGCAAGCCGGAGAAAACCAAGCAGGTTTCAGACCTGGCCGCGGATGTACTGACCAAGTATTCACACTGCGCCAGGTTTTGGAACACAGACACGCTTACCGGCGCCCGACACTTGCTGTATTTCTCGACCTGAAGGCGGCATTCTACTCTGTTGATAGAAAAGTCTTATGACAATGTCTGTCACTGAAAGACGTGCCTAGTAAGTACATCACCTTATTGAAAACTCTCTACTCGAACACTTGTGGGCATGTTAGAGCCTATGGCGAGTTGTCCGGGGAGCTATACTCATCAAGTGGTGTCCATCAAGGATGCCCACTATCTCCATTCTTATTCAATTTTATCATAGATATTCTTAAGAAGGTTTCCTTCTCGTCACCTGATTACACAGACGCTGACCCGATCACAGGTTAATTTTCTTTAGATCTAGAATATGCAGATGACATAGTCGTGTTAGGTGAAGACGCTGACAAGATGCAGAGTCTTCTGAACACTTTGAGTGGGAATTTGAGAACGTTTGGGATGCGATTTTCACCACCCAAATGCAAATTTTTGCTCCAAGACTGGTCTTCAGCGGTACCACGGCTAACAATAGAGAGTGAGGTGGTTGAGTGTGTTGACCACTTCACTTACCTGGGAAGTAGGACCAGCCCTGGTGGGTTAGTTGCCGATGAAATCTCTGCACGGATACAAAAGGCTCGGTTGGCTTTTGCCAATTTACACCACCTATGGCGCCACCGTGATATCCGTTTGTCTATTAAGGGTCGCGTGTACTCAACAGCAGTCCGGTCTGTTCTACTGTATGGCTGTGAAACATGGCCATTGAAGGTGGAAGACACGAGAAGGCTTCAAGTGTTTGACCACCGTTGCTTTCATAATATAGGCCGTATTGCGTGGTGTCAGCACGTGAGTAATGCAGAAAGTCAGGTGTAGAGTTTTAGGGAGAAGAGGTAAATCAGTTGACGAGGTTATGAACCTTCATCGACTGAGATGGTTGGGACACGTACTACATATGCCTAGTCACCGATTGCCTTGTCACACAATGTTGGCTGAGGTGGGTCCAGGCTGGAAAAAGGCTCGAGGTGGCCAGACTAAAACATGGCATCAATGCTTGAAGTCTTTGACTGTTGGTTTGAGCCATTTGGGGCGATACAGACTAGGTGGTTGGGGTTCGCGGGACAAGAGGAACCAGTGGTTGGAGACTCTAGATGATATGGCTCAGAACCGATGTCAGAAGCGCAGATGTATACACACATTATCCTCATCTTAACAATACCGATCCTCACCATTTTCTCATTCTTCCTTTCCTTTCTTCTCGTACTTTATATTTCTTTTGACTGCATTCACTTATCTTCATCCTTCGCCTCACTACCTTTTTACTTGATGTACTGATATGAGCTGTGGCAACTCGGCACGTTACGCAGTAATGCCTGGTCCTATGTTGATATTGATGATGATGACTTGGCGTTAGCCAACATCAAGCCAACGATGGACACAGACAGCTCATATTGCTACCATCCACAATTGGAGGACTGCCGCTCTTTCTTCAAAGCCTGCTTAGACTCAAATCATGCGTTAGCACGGACACGTGTAGGTTTGCGCCTTAATAGGCATAGGAAACAGATATAAGTGGGAATTAGGTGTGTTAAACTGAAAGAGGCAAACGTCAAGTATGCATTTAGGAAGGAATTAAGCATATATTTGAACATGACCGCAATCCTCATCCTGAGGAAGCCTGGCGTAAAATCAAGTCTGCTGTAGAAACACCGGTAAAGACAGTTGGTAACCTATGTCCAAAGGTTAGTAAACGTCAATGGAATTTGGTAACTTCATTTGAGCTGAGTGATGCAAGCTTCGGCCACAATGAGGAGCAAAAGCAACTTAAACGTAACTCGACCACTATTCTTCGCAATGGTCGTAAACAGTATTCGATGACGAAAGCAAGAGAAATGAAGAAGGCATCAGCATTAGGTAATACCCCGAAATTACTGAAGCTTGTTGAGGATACTGGCAAGGAGTGACATCATCACTGAGAAGAATTGGTCTGCGATAATTTCTAAGTAAAGGTGACTAGAACGTTGGGCACTTCAAATCGCCTATACTGACGTCCCAATTGCCCAGCATCCATCCCGAACCTGAATGGGATGCAGACATCAGTCATCTAACTCGCCTTGAAAATCATGCTGTTTCATAAACGAAACGGTGAAGAGCAGTGGTACCTGATGGGTTTGGGTCAGGTTTTAAGGAAGGTGATAGAAAAATACTGAGTAAAGTAACATAAGTATTAGGTAGCGCATGGGTATCAGATGTAGTCTCATCATATTGGTATAGATCATTGATTATTCCAACCTATAAACGAGTTTTTACACGACAACCATAGGGGAGGCAGTTTAACTAATATTGTCAAGATCCTGGAGTCCATAGGTATTCGACGCCTAACTGGAGAACGAAAAACTCAAGGAAATCAGGTGGGTTTCAGACCTAGACGTCAGTGAGTCGCACAGATTACTCTTTGGCAGGTTCTGGAACACAAATATACTTACCGGCAGCTGACACTACCCATACTTGTCAACCTGAAGGTGGCACTTAACTCTGTAGCCCAAGAGTTGCCGTAACAGTGACTGATGGGGAAGTACCAAGGAAGTACATTATCCCAACCAAAGCTTTCCGTCTGAATTTGCAAGGAGCTATCGGGAGTTGATATCTATTTTGTGCAACAAAACCCACCACCCACCTTGATGCGAAATGTTAAACAAAGAATTATGTTGGACGAAAGCAATGGATAGTCAAATTCAGATGTGGAACTAATTCATGCAGTCTCTGGTGACATAATTCGGACAGGGGAGTATAGGCTGTCGTGTTATGACCGTCAAGGTGACTGTGATAAATGGTTACAGACTCAAAACAGGTGACAACGGTATAGAGGCACACATTTCAGAATATTTAGTCTCACTAACATGTTAACTCTCGGTTACAAAACCACCTCATTTCACAAGTGGTTGAATCTAAGACTCATATAAATATCTAGTGATGAACTACCAAAATTCAGAGTACATGCACTAACGATTTGGCGTTAACATAATAAGGAACTTCACACTATATTCCAGTGACCAAATATTAAGATTATTCAGTAGGATGTGTGAGTGTAAAACATGTGCAAGAACGTGTCTAGAAGAGTCTAAAACCACATAAACCCCGCACAATAATTGCTACAGTGCCTTTCATCACTGTCATCCACCTGTCTCAAAAATGAATGTCCACAGACTTTGAATTCACAGTAGACAGCAAGTCTATGGACCTCCATAAATTCGCACGAAAAATGTTCTCTAACCACAAGCAAAACATGGGTCAACTCCGGAAACGATATAGGTACATTTCTCAGCAAACAAATCAAATGCTATTCAAGTAAATGCGCATGTTTGATCGTTTGTACCTGGCAATATTAACCTCTAGCAGAAGCATGAATATAGACCCAAACTTGACGACAAATTTGCGCTTAGCGACAAGATCACTTGACCAAACATCTGGAACACGCCAAGCGCCATCCACAAACTTATGTAGTCTTCTAAGAATTTTATTAGAAAAATAGGATACTTAAAACCACAGAATATAAATGTATTCGAAGTTGCTTCGCAGTGAGAAAAAGTGCTGAGTCAGTTGCCATCCACCTGATTTTAACAGGGTTAAATAAACCAAAGTCAAATTGGAAGCAACGCAAAATAACGTAAGTAGGGAGATTTACCTACTGAACGCCTTAACATGCAAACTAAGAGCACATTTCTCAATAACCGCATTCAAGAGCTACGCAAGATATTACGGGTATAACATAGTTACACCTATAAGACACTCCCCAGCAATCAAAAAGTTCTTCATATATTTCACGTAATGTGGTACAAACGAATGCATTTAGACATGTCTACATCAGTTATTTCGTTTTTATTCAGCCTTCTTACGGCTTAAATTTACCATTATCCATTATTTCATAATCCTTGTATCCCGTTTACTCCCTTTTATTCAATGTTTGCTTTGGTTTCTGCATTTCGTTTAACTGACTCTGGAAGTGCCATTACACCAAATTTAATGGCTCTATGTATGATTGAAAGTCTCGAAAATTACCAATGATAACGTTTCAAGATTCGTTACATACAACAAATATTTAACGCATCATACTGTAAAAGGACCACGACTAACAGCAAAACGAACTAGCGCGTTCCAACAGTGCGTCAATCAAAACGAAATCCTTCTGCATAAGACCCGATGTTGCTCATATGACTCAAATCCCGATTTTTTTTAAGTGCGTTTTTAAAAACTAGAAGAGACTTTCAGTCAACTGGCTCTCATTTGTATGAGTAATAAATGAACTCAACATCAAACTCAGTGAAAGTGTTGAAGTCATACTTGTTAGAAAGAGGAATTGAATTCTCATCCCCCCCCTCCCCCCATAAACTTAAATTTTGTAGCGATTGTGCAGCTTAAGGAACTTTTAACTCTAAAATGAGTTTTTTGACAGTTTGGACCCACATGCTTCCACTCCAAATTTAACAGCTGTCCCTCTGAAAAAGTCCAGTGACTTTCAATAAACAAACTTCGTGTTGTAGAAAACGGCGAACAATTATTCTCTCAAGGCAGAAAATTAGTCGTCTAGAATGTTAGAATGTCGGAAGAAACCTGAGAGGAGACAGATTCAAATTACCAACTAATCAGGTTGCTGTTGGCAGCGCAAGTACTCATGATTTCCAACAGGACAGTTAGCTTCTCAAATACAGTTCTTCTGTACCACAGGATTCTGAATGTGTATATAAAATCCTTCTGAAAAGATAGGAGGAAAGTGGCTGTGACAACTCCTAGAAGGAAGTTCCAAAGTTTACACACTAACTGCAAATGAGTTAGCGAGAATCACTGCACGCGCTCTCTCATGCTTTGATCTAAAAGGCCGAACCCTAGGGAGAAACCGCCGACAGAGGCTTAAGTGATAGGATGGTATGAGAGGCATTATAGGCAGTATGATACGCCGTGATCATGTCCCATTCCATCTCCCTGTATCGTACTGAACGCGGCTACCCAGATAAGGTTTGTTCCATCGCCCTTAATTCTCTCTTCGTAGCTCTTTTGTGAAACCATCCTAGGATGGCCCATTGTTTCTCCAAGTGTGAAGGCACAACGTGCGAGTTTTTTCCCCTAGATGAGAACAAATAAATAGTTTTGCGGTGACAAATAATTCCCCCAAAACAATAACCTGCGGTTCGACAAGATTACGGGTTGAGGCTGACCTCAATAGTTTTAACGGGCTCGCTAGGCTGAAAATATATGACAAGCATCCCTACCACTCGAGACGCTACCGCATTGCGTAACGTTGCTGGAACGCTATCCTGTAACCAGTTAATCGGAACTCATCAGGACTCCAACTCGTGCTATCAAATAAAATATTCCTTCTTGATGCTCCTTTGTGTTCTTTCTTGGTTTCGAAACTTTGGGCACGTGACAAATACGAATAACTGGTGCTTGGTTTTTGAGTCTGTCAGGTTCGCCTAAGGTCAGATCGGTGGACTGTTTCCTTTTTCTACTTGTGCACTTCTGCTTTCTGTTGGATGACCTTTGTTTGTACATATAATATACTTCTACACCCGTGTGCAACTAAACTCCTCAATCTGTCCACAATAAACCAACAGCGGACCCTAACTAGCTGCAGGCGAACTGACTAGACAACGCCGAAACATGGTTTTTGTACGCTGAAGTTGACTTACAACCTCTCGCTGTCACACGATCACTGCCGCGAAAATTAAATACACCCGTCACCACGTACGTTAACCCTGAAGTAAGTGGTCCCCATATACTGCTTAAAGAAGCTTTTCTGAAGAAACATAACCTCATAAATCGCCAAAGCCTAAATGACTTGTCACCTGACATCAACCTAGGGAACAACCCAGGTACTTACTCACACCCATGCCTGAAGTCATTGACCAACGACAGCTAGGCGATGGTCTTCTTCATGGTCTGCCTGTTTCGAAACTACAGCGGCCGGTGACATTTCACTTAGCTGCTAACGATGACGCAGAAGCCTCGCCTGATAGGATACTGCAGATTTCTAGTGGACCAGCGTATATTCTACCGCTGAGGAAACTAATGGTCAGGTTTCAGGATTCAGAAATGACACAGCTAAACAACTCCGTCAAGCAGCTTCTGCCAGCCCTAGGCCATTGATTACGTAGCACGATACAACAACAGGTTTCGCCCTGTTGCAGAATTTCGCGCGGCCACCCAGCGGCTGGGCCTCGCTTCCTCGAAAGTCCTGGGCGGCCTTAATTCTGTAACACTCAAGGCGAAGAAGCCAGAAACTGAGAACGGGTGCACTTTTCAAAAAGGCTGCTCGAAACGGAGAATTTACCCCCACTGGCTTGCATTAAGACCGGCCTCAGTGGGCGGAAAAAGCCGTTTGTTGTACGTCACCGGCATGAAAAAGAAAGTTTCCCACCTCCTTGACAGCGGCGCAGAAGTCAGCGTTCCGCCCACAATCACAAGCGAACGCCATCATGGACCGTCAATCTGCAGGCAGCTAACGGTAAAACAACCCAACAAATGGAAAATAGTTTTCCCACCCCGACCTCGATCTACGCATACTGTCCACTGAATGTTTCCTCTAGCTGACGTCTTCCTACTGAACCGTCAGGACAAACTCTTGAGTGTCCGTCGGCGACGACTGACAGATAACAACACAAAGTTATCCGTCAGCAAGACCACCTACGTGGGTCCCTGTTTAATCGTGGTTAGAAAGAAACGCAAAAGTGACTCGTCCTATCAGACGGTACCGGACAGATATGTAATGTGCTATGGCCACTAACAATCCACTAATATTAAGTGTCAGCCGCCAGCACCCAACAATTTCCTGACTGATTCACGACTGGACCAATTAATTGAAAAGACATGGTGGACGTGTACAAACGTCTGTTGGGGTCGGGAGAACGAAGACAGAAATGGGAAAATGCACCTAACATATAGATAGTTGGCTGTTTAAAACAAAAATATCGACTGGCTGATCACCCATCTGTCTGTCTAACTGTAGGCGTGATAATATAGAACACATTTCAATAGGACTGTCTCCAGACTAGGCTTCTCTTCCTTGCCCCACATCCAAAAATCCAGTCTGGCTCTGAACAGGCTAAGAGCGGCAAAAAGCGAATTCAGCCGCATGCTTCAACCCGGAATCATCAAACGGTCGAATAGACTTGACAAATCACAATCCTATATGGTGCTCCGAAAAATGGCATCAGTTTGCGTCCGAACAGCGGTAACTAACGACTCAGTGCCAAAACAACGCCCGACTGCCATCGCAGGCCTCAAAGCAGCCGACCGGTATGAGACGCGACTACTGAATTTCTCAACGACCTATCAAACAAGGCAGATTCACGATTATTTCCCACTCAGAAAAAAATGTTCAGGTAGAACGATTGGGTTCCCAGAACACTTAGGAACTTAGCTAGCCGTTTAGTGTGCGGATATATGGATTCCTTTCCCTGAAATGGTATCACTTTCCATGCAAACGAGTGGTCACATGTCTTTAAAAAACTCCAGGGCAAAGTGCTTTGGTTTGCGTATTTTTTTGGGCGCAGTTGGTCACCATAGTATTGCTCTATCTGTAGTAGGCCGTGTACTGAGTCAGGTTCAGCGGAATTTTGCTGCCTGAAATCGATTCCTAACATGGAAGTTGTTTAATTTCAAATTGAGAGTGTATCTATTCTTTCGAATCCCATATGGTCTACCAGTTTTATGACTCCAGGTTCACTTAACAAGACAGTAACGAAGTACACCTGCACAGGTTGTCGCAGTGGCTTTGCTGGAATGAGTGGCCTTAAATTATGGTCACGGTGATCTCGTTGCTTCAATGATCCCACATATCATATTTCCGAAGAGCCAGTTCGATGGTGACTAGCGTTCGTGCAGGGGCGAAAGTGAGAATCAGGCAGGCCAAGAACCACAGAGATTTGTCACCGAAGACTCAACGTCTCAGGCATTCGCGCGAGCTATCTTCAGTAAGACGAATAATGTTTTGTAGCGTGACCGCCCTAGAATGCAGTTACAAAGAAAACGGACCTAAAATAACTGGGCCCCAAGCCTGTAATAATGATGGTCATGACGTGAACAGATACACAAAAGGGACACTTATTCTCAATAACCTAGCTTTCACAGGGTGCTTTCCCACAAACGTGACTTCGAAATGGATTCCCTTGATGGGCAAGGGGGGTGCTGCACTTGATGAGCAATCTAGAAGCAATTAGAAGGGTAAATATGTGCAAGTTGAAGTAATTAATACTGAGACTAAGGGAAATGAAAACATACTAAGTGGAAAAACAGTTTCCTCTACTGAATCAGGCATATAAAGAACTCCTGTGGCAACCAGTTTGTCTAAAATCAATTGGAAAATAGACGAAAAAACAGGGATACTGCACCCAAAACCTCAAACACGAGAACAAATCCCCCATTCTTCGTTTATTGTCGGCCTCTGTTAATTCCAGTAACGACAGGAACTCTAACGGAATCACCGATCTCTGGAACACCCGCTAAAGCAGTCATGCTGTGGCTCGAATTAATAACCCGGCTAGTCGTCGAGCTTAAATTGTGGCTGCAATAATCGGAGGACACGTTTGTCAGCCTTGGCGGAAACTATGCTGAGTCTACCCAGAAACCAATCAATAATTCTTTGAGAGGACCAGAGCTCCTGAAAGTGGAGGAAACCGACGGACGACCGGCATTCATGGATATCCTAATTGCAAAAGGTGGTATATTGTAGTATATATATCTGAATATACATGTACACACCATTTCCATGGGTGTGAATAAATCTATATGTAGATTGCATTTTGCATTGGGGCGAGTAATTTTGATCGCTGGAATGCCTGCACTGCAGGTCAATAAAATGTAGGATGGCAACAGAATAAGTATGCACAGATGGACGTCGTGAACAACTGGAATTATTGTCTTAGTATTGACGAAACATCCGGGGTTTGCGTTCAGGTATCACAACGATTGTCTGTGGAAAAATAAAAGCTTGAAGCTAGTTGCTCGCGTTGTTACCTGCCATATTTTTACCCATTATTGATGATGTTAAGCTCGTGAATGAATATATGCGTGTGGTTCGTCATTCGCTGTTCTTTAATGGTTCCAGAACTATGGATTCCATTCATTCTTACACCGGTTATCGTCGGACATTAATAATAAACGAATATTCTATTCTCAGACTAGGCAACTGAAGTG